ATAATGTACAATAAAATAAAATACCCTAAAAAATGAAATAAAATAAAGAACAAAGTAAAATGAAATTAAATTAAATATTATGAAATAAAATAAAATAAGTTAAATAAAATAAAGCAAAATAAAATAAATTAAAATATTAAATAAAATAAATTAAACTAAAATAAAATAAAATAAAACAAAACAAAATAAAAAAAACCAAACCAAACTAAACTAAAATAAAATAAACTAAAACATATAAAACAAAATAAATAAAATGAAATAATATATGATTAAATTAAAACAAAATAAATGAATATAAAATTAATAGAATAAAATAAAATAAAATAAACTAAAATAAAATAAACTAAAACAAAATAAATTAATATAAAATTAATAGAATAAAATAAAATAAAATAAAATAAAATAAAATAAAATAAAATAAAATAAAATAAAATAAAATAAAATAAAATAAAATAAAATAAACTAAAATAAAATAAACTAATACAAAATAAATTATTATAACATAAATAAAATGTAATTAGGTATTTACCTTAAAATTTAAATAAATTAATATAAGTAAAATAAAATAAAATAACAAAAATATAGATGAAATTCAAGAAATAAAAAAAATATAAATAAATTAAAATAACAACAACAAAACAAAAAATATAAAAAGTATAAAACAAAATAATGTATAAAAATTGAAATTAAAAAAAAAAATCAAAATAAAATAAAATTAGATACAAAAAAATCAATAAATTAAAATTAATAAATAAAACAAATTTAACAAAATATAAATCAAAATAAAAAATAGAGCAAAGTAAAATAACATAAATTTATTGAAATTATATAATTAAATAAAATCAGGTGAATTAAAACAAAATAACTTAAATTAAAAACAAATTAAAATAAAAAAAGGAAAATGGTAAATTGAAAAGCCAAATCAAATTTAATTACAAAGTTACAAAAAAAATTTCAGGTACTAACAATGTGATCTCCAAGTAGTTCGATTTAAATACATACATACACACATATGTAGTTTTAGGTGTAATCTTGAAGAATCAACTGATTATATACATAAGACCATAAGTACACAAATATATTAGCCTTAAAAGCACATATTTACACATTTAATCACAATAAATATTTGCATTTTGTCAATGCACTACTAATAAAGATGTTTTTGAGAAAAAAAACACTCAACGAGACTATTTACTTTGCTTGCGTAGACAAGCAAAAGAAAAGTATGGATGACATGAATACAGACGATTTTGGCTGACCACAGAAGCATTCAAGCGTGCTAATTTGCATGCTGTAGTTGATAAAAAGAAAATAAGACGAATACACAATTTAACATACATAAGTGTATACATATGTATCTATGTATGTACATACTCGTACATGTGCACACATCCACACAGTAAATATTACAATCTGTGAGTAATTCTGTATATTCAAAGAAAGTACTAGTAGCGAAAGCTAATTGGTAGTCACTGTATATAACCTGAGAGTGATTAAAACGGTTTAAATAGTGCAACAAAAAACCAAAAAGTAAACTGCAAATATGTGAGAATATCTGCAATATTCCCTTAACTTATGTCATTTTTAATAGATTTTCAGTTTATTTTGTTAAAATTTTTTCGATTATTTACATATCGAATTTAAATTTTTATACAAAGTAGATAAAAAGTTATTGAAATAAACTCGTTAATTAAACATAATATATGAAGATAACATAAACATTACCGAAGCCACACTTTGCAAAATACAATTTAATTGTTAAATATATATCCGTTATCTATTAACTAAACAGTGAATTAAAATATTGATTAAGAAATATTAATTTATTTATTATTAATAATAATTAATAATTATTATCAATAATTATGAAGACCAATTTCAACTAAATCAATATTTCTATTATAACATACTATTTGTTTATCTCTTCTGATCGGCTGTCAACTGCATAAGTACATGTAATTAGCAAATTACTGCTAAGGTGACCAGGAAAAAAATTTCTAATTTTCTAACGCCCACATGATGTAATAAAACTAATGCAAAAAATATAAAAGTACACCCATTTTAGTTAACTCATCAAATAATTTCAGCTGGGCACCTTGACAGTAGCAAGACTAACACATTGACATATCTACAAAGGCAAATAAATGAGATTGTAACTCAAATACCAAGTGAGTAAATAATTGATTTTGCCAAGAGAGCAAGAGAAAGTATGAAAGTGCCTTTAATTTGTATGGTATTGGTCGACTTAGTAACACGCTAATTGATAGATATATAATTTTTTTTGAAGAGTTATTTCTTTTTATTGCACATTTGCTAAGAAAAATTTTGAGAGCTTATTAAAATAAAAACCAATAAATTGTAAAAAATACAGAGTTAAGCATTTTGCGGTTTCGGAAATAAAATTCCTTTTTTCATATTGTTTTCGAACCTTGGCGTTATATAAGAGACACATCATTCGAATGACTGCCTCGCGAATTTTTGCAAACTTCGATCCATTTGACGTCACTTCTGTACACTTTTTGGTACATATTGGGTGGTATCTCAGCTTCAACTTGATGCATGTTGATTTCTAAGTGCTCTTGAGCGTCAAAGCGCATAAATTAGCATCACCAAGACAAGAGATTACGGGAACGGGAAATTACTTTCACAACAAAGTCATATTCTCTTGTGTTGTGTGGCATGTAGTACCATCTTGTTGAAACCAACTGTTATATTAAGTTCATTTATTTGATGATTCTCTTAGCCCCACATTCGAAATTTTATTTATTTACTTAAACCCCAAGTGAAAAGTGTGCCTCGTCACTGAAGAAAATATTATTCAAATATTCACCAACCACTGCTTGTTGTGCAAGCGCCCAATCGACTTTGGGTACGGCGTTGTGAATGGTCAACAATGGTCAATAATTATGAGAGCTAGACTTCATATAACTGTAAGTGCAAAACACAATTATCAATAATTAGCTGTAGTAAGCTCTATTTGAGAGTTTAGTTTGACATATGTCAAAATACAGGATGTAACTTTGAAACCACGAAATGGTTAACTGATGTATGATGGGGAAAAATTTTCTGTGAAAGTGAATTGAGCTGCTGTAATTTTCAAAAATTAAAAAAATTCATAAATGCCCACTATTTTGAGTGTAGTAGACTCATACATTTCCTTTATTACTTTATTTTTTCTGTCACACATATCCGATTTCGTATTCCAATTCACTCATCGCAGATCATTTGGATTTAATTAATATAATAATGAACTATATGATATCAATACGACTCTATCAACTCTCAAATTTGTGAAGAGAGTAAATGGAGGCATGACTGATATCAGAAAAAAATCATTATCAAAGCGCATATAGAAATGAGCTTCAACAGTGAATTGTATAATTTTGTGAATTTACATTCATTTTATTACACTTCACATTATCTCAGAAAATAAAAACAAAAGTATGTTTAAATCTCCCCTGCGAATTTGTCAGGCTTTATTATATTTTTATCTTATAATGATAAAAATGAAAAATTTTTCAACCACTATCTGAGCAACTTAATTTAATCTTTCAATTATTACTTTGAAGTTGTTTATGAGTATAATCAGTCAGATTGTTTTCCAATTGTTATCATTTCAAAACAGCAACTCTTATCGGGTGCTAAAAAATAAATAATAATTATTATTAATATTTTCCTATTTTTATTACAAATTATTTAAATATTGTTTATCAATATGTGTAATATCAGCTGAAAGCTTAAAGATGATTCCAACACCAATCCTTAAATATTGCGCTGAAAACTTCTATCAGCTTTCAGCGACCCCTTTTAATGCATACCTGCAAAAAGGTATTTTTTATCTTGTTAGAGTTCCTTTGCATAAGAGTGGTAGTAGATCGGCGATTGAAAATTATATGGGAAATCGCAAAGATATCTGCTATAACAAGACAAAATTTATAGCAAATGAACTTTTTCAATATTTCCAATAATTTCCTATTCCCAGCATGGGTTTTGTAGGGGAAAAACTACCATTACTAATTTACTTGAAATCGTTACGAATGCTTCCAATGGATTTAGGGAAAACAAGAACACCGACTTTAGGATAGAGTAAATCACTTTATACTTTAATGCTTATCTTCTTATTTCTGTAACAGAATGCAAAGAGAAATATTTATTCGGTCATAGTTAATTGATGTAACCTCAGTCGTTCCGCAAGGTAGCTACCTGGGTCCGATTCTGTTCATGTTATTTGCTAATGATTCGTCTTCAGTCATAAAATATTCAAAATTTTTATTATTGATTTGACAGACTCAGTTTTAGTAACGAAAACTACTTTACTGACCTCTCTAAATAACTAGATCTCTTAATTTTATCAATAGCATAATCAATTGTATATTTCTACTGAAGACTTTGTTTGCCTCCAGCTAAGCAGTTTTAAATATCGACGCTTAATAAACTCTTGCTTTTCATGACTCTGTAAAATTTTTTTATTACTCAAATGCTTTTACTGAGATCTGCAATAAACACATATTATATTTATGCACAACAAACAAATTCTTATCTATAATAGCAAATTTAAAAGTGCTAGACCCCTCGTAGAGCACTTAACAGTATCTCGCCATTCAATTAGCCATATATAAACGTCGCCAATTCGACACAGCTCAGTCGCAAATCATTCGCCTGTAGCCGCATACAAATAAGTCAGAAGGTAGAAGGTAGCAAATAATACAGAAAATATAGTATACATACGGTGTTGAAAAATGTAATAATAATAAATAAAAATAATAGAACAACATTTCAGAAATTAAAAAAATGATGTGCTAATTATTCGTTATCTCAAAAATATTTACTAATAATAACAAAAAATATTTTTTATTTTCAACTCATTATTTGTTGGCATTTCTATCAGATTAATACTATTAAATATTTACTTGCATACGTTTGTCTATACATTCGTATATAAATTCTTTAAGTGCTCTATTTGCTGTGCTATTGTAATATTTAATTATATTGAAAAATACTCCATCATAGCATTCGTGCAAAGCTTTTTTGCTGCTATTTAGCAGTATTGAGTGTATGTGCGAGCCCAGATAAAGTATAATTAAATACGATAAAAAATATTTGATAATTACATATAATGTGAGTATTTAGGAATATGTAATAAAAGAAAATCAAGTTAAATAAAATAAATTGAAATCAAAAATAATAAAATTAAATGAACATAAAAAAAGTAAAATACTTAACAATAAAATTAAATTAAATATTATACAATAAAATATGATAAAACAAAATAAAATAAAAGAAAAGTAAATAAAATAAAATAAAATAAAATAAAATAAAATAAAATAAAATAAAAAGAAATAAACAAAATAAAATTAATAAAATAAAATAAGATAAGTGAAATTAAGATAAATAAATGATGGATCTTAAATTTATGTCAGATATAAGCTAAGTGAAATTATATTAAGTCAATTTTAGTCAAATTCAATGCAATAGACGCAACCAGTTTGTTCAGATATGTGTATAAAATATTTGCTGCCATAAAGAATCGAAGAAAATTAAAAATAGGTAATAAATATTTGGTTTGTTTTTTTTAACACGAACCCCTGACCTTCCGTTATATTGTATAGATAATGTGAGATTGCGGTAAAGGGATTTCTTTTTGTGTAGTACAATTTTTTTTTTAGCCAATTACATCTCAATTTAAATCAAAAACCTTTTTGTTATCAATTATTTCAACACCATATATGTATGAATTTATTATAATTGGCTATGTAGGAGAGTTGCGATAAGAGTTCGGTATAAATCATATGAAATAAAAAACAGCTGCTAGATATGCCATTTTATTGTAAATCGCACAAAATAACAATGTTAAAATATATCAAAACATCTTCAAATTTGTTAAAAATTTATTTCAACCTTATTTCCGGACATAGGAAGATTGCTATTTATCCGAAATTCATAAAAACCCAAATACTTATTAACTAATTCAACTCTTCCTCTCCATCAGATGTCTTACAAACTCGAAACAATTCCCAACGGCGAAACCCTTATCGGTGAGGGCCCACACTGGGATGTTGCCACACAAAGCCTGTACTTTGTCGACATTGATAATGCCGTTCTCCTGCGTTACGATTACAAACAAAACAAAACCTACTCCGCACGATTAGAAGGAGAAAATTTCGCTTCCTTCATTATACCCGTCGAAGGTGAGAATGGTAAATTCGCTGTCGGTTGCGATCGTCGCGTGGCCATTGTTGCCTGGGATGGTGTATCGCCGAGTGCCAAAGTTGCGCGCAATGCTTACGAAGTGCAGTCGGGTGAGGAATTCGCGTTAAATCGTTTGAATGATGGCAAGGCCGATCCACGTGGCCGTCTTTTCGCCGGAACCATGTACAATGATCAAAAAGACTTGTTCGCAGCACGTAAAGGTGAATTGTATAGATTTGATAAAGGCAAACCAGTAGCGCTGATTAAAAGTGATATTGGCATTTCGAATGGCTTGACATGGAATGAGAAGGCGGGCAAATTCTATTTTATCGATTCATGTGATTACAATGTTAAGGAGTATGATTACGACTTAGAAACGGGAGTGGCAAGTAAGTAATGGACTTTACTTTACAAAACAGTTTTGAATGTAAAATTACCAAACTTAACATAAATTTATATTTTCTTTTATAGGCAACCCAAAAATAGTCTTCAAGCATGCCTCACATTTACCTGATGGCATGACCATTGATACTGAGGGTAATATTTACATTGCCACCTTCACCGGACACACGGTCTACAAGGTGAAACCCAGGTGAGTTTGTTAGTTTTGGTGGGTGTCCAGTACTATCTCAAAACCTCTATAGTGAACAAAGTAAATAAATATAATGAAAAACTCTTCTCTTATAGCACTGGTGAGGTACTTTTGGAAATTAAATTCCCCTGCAAGCAAATCACCTCGGTCGCTTTTGGTGGTCCCAATTTGGATATTCTGTATGTAACTACCTCCAAGCTCAATGATCAGCCACCACCAGCTGGTAGCACTTTCAAGGTGACCGGTTTGGGTGCTAAGGGCTTGCCAATGACTAAGGTGCGGATCTAAAATTTTGGATGAGCTAAATATGGACTGGCTTCAGTGAAGGCATTGCTTTTATTACAATTTTTTGTAGGTTTGTAAAATAAGTGTATAATCAAAATAGCATTGTTATAGAGACTATAAATAGGAAATAAACTACTGAGAATAATTTTTTTTTCACAATCAATTTATATGAAAGCGATAGAGATCAGATGAAATATCCAGGGATTGGTTAGACGTGTTTTTATGACTTCGACGATTTTTGTTTTTTAAATGAAATGAATCAAAGAATTTGAAAAGTAATTGAATAAAATGGAACAAAGCGTAAGATATTCTAACGAAGAGGCTTACGGTGAGTCTTCTACGTGTTTAAGGGTTTACAAGTGATTCAAACTGGCGAAGTCGTTGAAGATGATCAACGCCTAGAACACTTTTGCCTACTGGCAAACCTTTCATGAACATAAAACTGTAGACGATCTCAAACTGCTACCATACCACCGATTCGATTAATAAAATAACTATAAAAAATTAAAATGAAATAAAACTAAAAAAACCGAAACATAATAATAAATAACTTAAAGTAAATTGTTTTGATTTATATTAACTTATTTAGCTAAAAACAAAATAAAATTAAATTAAACTTAATTTTACAAAATAATAAAATAAATTTGATGAAAATAAATAAAAAAAATTAAAAAATGGATTTAAATAATTGAATTTATATTAAGTCAAATGAAATTAAAATAAAAGCAATATTAAATTAAATTTGAATAAATAAAAATAAATTCACCAAATAATCATCGAGCTCGGAAGGCTATATCACATAGCCCTCATACAACCCGATTTTTTCAGTTATGTGAATTTGGTTCATAAATTCCTCTATGAAGCATCTAAAAAAATACAAATAGGCATTCTACACTCGTATTCTAATAAATATTCTAATAAACATTGAAAATCTACGAAATTAAATTTTGAATTTTTGGAATAAATTTTATATGTTCATAAAGGGTATAAAGTCTACTACATATACATACTTGAAATAATGGAAAGATACTTAATATTTGTTTGTCTATTTACCGCTTTAGGATTATTATGATGTCGAATGAAGTTCATTGTGATTAACTAATTGAAAATATTATTTTGCTTGCGCAAATTAAGAAATCAATTTAAGGTTTGCTTTGTTAAACAATTGATCATTTAATTATAATTTATAATATTTCAAAAAAAATCTACCATAATAATCAAGTGTTTCTTGTGGAAAATTTGGCAAAAAAAAACACTTTAATTGATTTAGCAAAATCTGTTGCCAATCAACAAAATTAACCACAAACTGTTATTTTTACTTTATTATTTACATACATACGTAATATATGTAGCTTTGTCGCTATAATCTTACACTCAGCAATACGCTTATTTGTTATGATTTTAAAAATGAAATGTTATCAAGCAATTTGTGACGTGAAAGCGGCCACCCATGCTATTAGTTATCCTCAATTACATTTATATTTGTTGTTACACTTGAATGAAATGATTATGAATGCCATCACCTGTATGTATTATTTATCAGTGTATTTATGCGTAAAAGTATGTGCTTTTAATATAAATTTATATGAAAACAATGTTATTGCAAGTTAAAGTTGATATCAATACGAAATGAAATAAATATGATATTTATAAGTGAAATTTCTTGGTTGCGGAGAATTTTGAGTACTTTTGAAAGGTAGAAAAAATTTAAATTGGAATACAGTAGAGTTGCTGTAATGTTAGTAAATTTTATTTTATTTTTTATATATTTATTTTAAATGCGTTGAAGTATTGCAATGATGCCATTTTTGTGGATTATTGTTTGTTTCTCCTTCAACTAAAACTGAAATTCAAAAATTTAAAATATCTTTGACTGTCTGTCTTAAACAAAAAACTATTTAATTTTCTTTTACTTTTTAATTTAAATATATATTTTTTTTTTGCTTTTTTAAATGCAAAACAAAATCCCACTACTTAGATCAACATATTTTTTAACAATTCAAACACTCGAACTCAAATTGTTTGATAAACATCACTGTGAATATTGGTAAAAAAACAAATTTCAATAAATAAACTTTATCTAATCGAATTTAACATGTGCAGAACATGCATTTTTTTTATTAAGCTTGTCGACCTATCTTAGAGTACTTAAAAGTATTTCACCATTCAGTTGGCCTTATATAAACGTAGACAATTCAACGCAGTTTAGTCGCAAATCATACGCCTGCAGCTGCACACAAAAAACTCCGAAGGTAAAATTAGTGTCAATAATTAAAAAAAAAATACTTATTAAGATACTATGGTGATGTGAAATTCAGTTATTAAATTTTTTTAAACATTTACGAAACTAAATAAAAACAACAACGAAGAAATATTCTCTATTGTTATAGTAATATTTAATAAAAATGAAAATAATTATATAAACATTGGAAATCATTGGTTTATGACGTTTGTTTATACATATATAAATTCTTAAAGTGTACGCTGTAATTTGCTGTGTATTTGTAATGCTTAATTAAAGTAAAAAAGTTCCCTATGCGTGTACTCGTGCAAAGCTTTTTGCTGCTATTTAGCATTATCGCATGTAAAAAATGTATAGAAAATATAATCGACAGAGTTCTATAAAAAAATAAATAGATAAATAGATAAAAATTTAGTATTTATTTAAAATATATTTATAATTAGCACTTTGAAACCGTTAAAGCGACTACTGGCAGAGAATATGTGAATACAAAAAACCAACGCAAAATGGAATAACTAAAGTTGAGCACATAATATTGGAAAAAAATTATACAAAATATGAAATAAAATAATATAAAATAAAATGAATCCAGAAAAACAACTAAAAAATTTTATAAAATGTATTTAAACTAATAAAATGACAAAAACAATACTCTAAAATCCATTAAAAAAGAAGGTAAAATTATATCAAATAAATAAATAGAGAAAAAAAATTAAAATAAATAAATTGGCTTAAATTGGCCTGAACAACATAAAAAAATATTAAATAAACAAATTAATAAAATTTAATTTAAACTAAATTAATAACAAAACATCAAAAACTAGCAATTAATATATTATAATACATTTGAAAATTAAGTTGCATAAAAATAAATTGATTTAAAAAAACCAACAAAGTTAAGGAACTACATAAAATACAAATAAAATAATATTAAGGAAAGAATAAATTAAATTTTATGAAAGTAAGTAAAATTATATGAAAATAAATCAATGTAACTTCATATTAACTAAACAAAATCAAATTAATTATAACAAAATACAAAGCTTAAAATGAATTCCAATAAGCTAAAATAAAACCAAATCAAATTAACTAATGCAAGATGGGAAAATGAAAAAAATTAAAGGAAAATTAGCAATAAAAACAAAATAAAGAAAAAAAATTTCAAAATGTAAGAAATATAACAAAAGAAAATTATGTAAAATAAAAGCAGTCGATGCAAAAAATTGAATTGCATAAAACCATTAAAAAATTAAATAACTTAACAAACGCTTCCCAATCATAACTCTGCATATTCCGCACGTTATGCGGAAGTCGCCTCTCGTGTTGGTTGGGCGGGTGGAGGGTATATTAAAAAAACGCAAATAAAATATAGTATTTTAAAAAATAAATTAAAAAATACATTATTTTATTTTTTAATTGCATTAACTTGAATTAAATTTTTATGAAAATAAGTAATAAGAACAAAATAGGAAAAACGAAACGAAATCAATAAGAAAACAATTTCAAAAAAAATTATTGAATATAAAATTATATTAAAAAAAGTTAAAATAATATTAAATTATATCAAAAGAAGTTTCAAATATAATAATAAAATAAAATAATAACTAATGAAAAAAATAAAACATTAAGTAGAATGTAAAACAAAAATTGAAATGAATGAAAACTAATTTAAATTAGGTAATATAATAAAAAGGTGAATTATTTAAACAACATAAAAAAAAATAGTTTTAAAAAATTTTAAGATCAAAGTAAAGTAAATAAAAATTTAATAGAATAAAATAAAAAAATAAGAATAAAATAAAGTAATAATTAATGAAAGAAATAAAAAACTAAGTAAAACCAAAAAAAAAAGAATGAGATAAATAAAAAAAATAGTTTAAATTAAGTGAAATTAAGAAAAGTTGAATTAATTAAACAAATTTAAAATAAAAAAGTTTTAAATATTTTTAAATAAAAGTAAAGTATTGTAATTCAAATCTAAATAGAACTGAATAAAATAAGACAAAAAGTAATAAATTAATATTTAAAGATAAAATATAGTAAAATTTTTAAATAAACTGTAAATAACGCAAAATGCATTAAAATGATATAAGTGTTACTTTTCACATCTGTAGATATTTCGTAGCTTTAACAAAGAATCTGATATTGCTCGTGACTTTTCACCTTTATGTTCAGTAAATTTCTCCATAAAAGAGCATGCACGCAATGTGGACGTGATAAAAAGCATATAGATTGAGCTAACGATCATCAGATTAACAAGCTGTCTTATCGCAACTCTTGAGACCGTGAGTCTGAAATTAATGAACATCGGTACGAACCCGCGACCCAATCGAAATAGAGAAACGAAATATGTAAATAAAAAAGGTATTAGTAGAAACACTGAGTCTGATTGAAGTAGGTTTATGATTCCAAAATATTACCTTTTACAATATTGTATCCGAAAGAGAATATAAAAAATAAATAAACAACTGCCTTTAAATATGAAATAATAAAATATGCGCGAAAACGTAAAATTACTTGAAAACTGTAGAATAATATTTAATACGGAATCATTTCTCTCTACCTCTCCATCAGATGTCTTACAAAGTCGAAACCATTCCCACCGGTGATGTCTTGATCGGTGAGGGCCCACACTGGGATGTTGAAACTCAAAGCTTGTATTTTGTTGATATCGATAATGCCATTATCTTGCGTTACGATTACAAAGAAAATAAAACCTACTCCGCCAAAGTAGAAGGTGAAAATTGCACTTCCTTTATTATACCCGTCGAAGGTGAGAATGGTAATTTCGCTGTCGGTTGCGATCGCAACGTGGCCATTGTTGCCTGGGATGGTGTGTCGACGAGTGCCAAAGTTGTGCGAAATGCCTACGAAGTGCAAACGAAGTTCGAGTTGAATCGTTTGAATGATGGCAAAGCTGATCCACGTGGTCGTCTTATTACGGGCACGATCTACAAACATCCAAAAGATATGTTCTCAACACGTAATTGTGAACTGTATAGCTTTGAGAAGGGCAAACCAGTAGCGCTGATTAAAAGCGATGTTGGCCTTTCGAATGGCATGACATGGAATGAGAAGGCGGGCAAATTCTATTTTGTCGATTCGTTAGATTACGATGTTAAGGAGTATGATTACGATTTAGAAACTGGAGTGGCAAGTAAGTGATGGACTTATAGTTTTTAATTTTTATTCAAATATGTATTATAATAAAACAGTATATATATATATTGTATATTTATATATTGCATTTAACATACATTAAATTAATACACATATTTACAATTTAATTTTCTCTCAAAGCCAACCCGAAAATAGTCTTCAAGCATGCCTCACATTTACCTGACGGCGTGACCATTGACACTGAGGGCAATATTTACATTGCCACCTACACCGGACACACGGTCTATAAGGTGAAACCCAGGTGAGCGCATTTACTTTACCAAGTAGTACTGGATTCCTTGTCAGAACTATTTTAATTCAAAAATTTTCTTCCGCAGCACCGGCGAGGTACTTTTGGAAATTAAATTTCCCTGCAAGCAAATCACCTCTGTTGCTTTTGGTGGTCCCAATTTGGATATTCTGTATGTGACTAGCTCTAGACTGGATGATCAGCCACCACCATCAGGTAGCACTTTCAAGGTGACCGGTTTGGGTGCTAAGGGCTTGCCAATGACAAAGGTGCGAGTCTAAAACGTTCGATCAGCCCAATGTGAGCTGGCTGCTGATTAGGATGTTGTTTTTGTTATAATTTTTGTAAGTTTTTAAATAAATGAGTACGTAAAATAATAATTTATATGCATTTTAAATAATACTCATTGTGAAAGAGACTAGACGAGCGAAAATGAAAATAAGAATGAGAAAGCAATAAGTAAAAAAGTCATCAAGACTAGATGAAGGCTTTGTTGAAAGATTTACTTTCCAGACTATCTGTCCAACTGTTTTAAATAAGTTGGTATAGAATTTTATTGAGAAACGTTTCACACGCAGACCTTGGCTTTGAATTTAATTCATATTTTGAAATTTATTAACTGTTGATGAGGGTATACACTTGAAAGCGCAACACACAGCAGACCTAATAATGATGCTTTGTAGGCTAGATTAAAATAATAGATACCCGCTACTCTAAGCTGCAGGAAACCCCTAGCAGAGTTGGATCTAGACGTATTAACTAGAAGTATGCGCAGAGACCCTTCACAGGGTGTAGTATCGTTACTTCTCCTTTCGAGTTACGCAGTCAATACTTTGCTGATGAAATTGAAAAAGAGAACAGCCATAAGCGGTAAGTGATGGAAATTCGGCGCAATAGCGTGCGATAAGTTGTTCAATAAAATTCTATACCAACTTATTTAAAACAGTTGTACAGATAGTCTGGAATACTAATTCATCTTCAAAATTTTTGGAAGTGTGTAAAAAGCCTGAGGCTTTTCCTATGAATCATCTATTGTACTGTGAACGCACTCAGTACCTCTCTCAGTAGCTCTCTGTACAATAGCAGCTTTATCCACAATAGCTTCGTGCAACCAAAGTACTAACTTTTTTTTTTGCATCGTGTACTGACATTCGGAAGGCTTGGGTTCACATCCTCGTACGACCAACATCCAAAAGTTATAAAAAATTAATTGCAATAAAAAATTAAACTAAATTTTCTAATTGCGGTCGTCCATCGGCAGGGGTACTTCTGACTTAAATAAAGCAGCGCAAAAAAACTTTGAGCCTTTCGGAGACGGCTTAGAGAAAAATGTTGGTCCCTCCATATGTTGGAAAAACGTCAAGACGCAAAATTACAATTTGAAGGAGGAAAAATAGTCTTAGAGGTTACAAAGCGCTATATATATTGAATGCCCAGAACTTTTTGAACAGATTAGACTCAATATCCTGCGAAAAACTCTCTAATCTAGCGATCATATCCAAGATACGTCAACTTAATCAGTTTAATGCCCCAGTTACTCATGCATTGACTGAGTTGAATGTAATCTATAAAACTATTGACATAGATTTCGCCACCTCAAACAAATGTTTTTCTTGATAAATTAAGTTTTTACAACTCTTAAGTTTTTTACTTTTTAAGCTGTAAAAATCACGAGACACATACACCGAACGTGGATAACTCTTCACCACGACAAAGCAAACACTCATACATCGACTGCAACATCTGCATTTTTCAGTACTCAAAACATCGATTTGATGAGTCATCGATTTTAGGGTCCTAACACCGAATGACTTCTGTTTCTTTTTGTACGTAAAAATAACAGTTTTTCAACACTCTGAAGTGGCTGTTGATACGCTAAGAACGCATGTTTTCGAGATAACTCAAAAAGAGTAGCGAAAATGCTTCGGCAATTGCTTCAATCGCATGTAAAAGTGGATAGATTTTAATAGAGAATATTTTGGAAAACTAAAAAGCGATTTGAGAATATTAAAATTTTGTGCTTTTGATCTCCAATCTCAAAATCTAATAGGCAAAAATCGTATAATGATGAGCTGTGGCCATTGCAGATGCCAGAATTTTTGCTTTGCATGCAATTTTATCGTGTGAAAAAGCTGATATCAACCACATTTATTCGCGGTGGCTTATATAAAAAAGGCATTAATTTGTTTCAAAATTCAAAATTCCTATAATTTTTCTTTGCCACTTAACGGATCGATATTCCAAAAGAAAAAGAATTATCGACACTTATACACATACACACACTAACACAGCACCACTAACACTGAAGCGCTTGCACAATTATTGTATAAATACTTCCGCATCGTAATGACTTTCAACTTCCTTATTACCGTTACTCAGGCATTCGGGCACTTTGGCAAGCCAATAACAACTACCGACAGTTCGTGGACTTTGTATGTAAATTTGCCATGCTCGCCATTCACTTAACGCCCAGCAGAGCCAAATCAAAATGAAATTCCAAATTACAAACATATGAAGAAATTCCTGCAGGAAAAAATACCAGCTTTTGACTAAAAAATCTTAATTTGTTCACTATTTCCAAAAAAAAAAAATATATGATCTGAGGCTATTCCGTAAAACTAAAACCCAAAAACAATTCAACAAAACAATGACCTAGAAAAGCATCTAAAATTTAACTAGTTGACATTTCTACTCAAACTACTTCATCTTTTATCTATTTTCCAAACAAGAAATTGTCAGTCTATGCATCAGCTGCTTACTAGCTTAATACCAGTTCATAAATACCTGTTGTTTCATACCAGTTGAGATCGAATCAAACCAGTTCGATTAATTTCAGTTTGTGCCTATCAAATTCTACTTGTCCCCTATCTTTAGCCAAAAATAAACAAGAAAGATTGTATTTGTGTATTGCGCGAGGGGATTAACAAAAGTTCGCTAAGTTTGCCAGGCAAAAAAATCTTTTGATATTATTAATATCTTCTCTTCATAATCGCCTTTGATTTCAATGCATTTCATAAGCCCAAAGATGAACTTTTGAGAACAATCTTCAAAATCTTGCTTTTCAAGCTTAACAAGTTCAGCATTAACCGCATTAATTATCTCCTCGTTTGTATTAAAAAACTTTCCTTTTACTTTAGGCTGTGTATTATTATTTACGACTGAAGAAAATATAAAAGAATGGCTGTAATATGTAGTTGTTGTTGTTACTGCAGCGGCAAGCCTAAGCTTTACTTTTATTCGCAAAACTATAAACTGACATGCATTGGTCCCCAAATAACTTGTACATATACCAGACTATTCGCAGACTAGTTCAGATTTTACCTAAAAATACTACTTCTAGTATATGACAAACTAGTATATTTTTATCCCTTAAATACCAGAATTATTCTAGTTTACAGCAAACTGGTATGATTTCGTCTTCACAATACTAGTATTTATCTAGAAGTTCTGCATACTAGTCTACCTTTTCCCTGCAGGGATTTGATTTACATTATCCATATATACAAATATAGAAGTCAGTAAGTCAGTTGGTATTCCACTCGCGCACAGCCCATCGAATCGACAGACAGGCTCTCATTAAACGAAACTTAAGCTCGTTCGGTAATATTTTTAATGGCGCGACAAGTGAATTTCTTTAATAAAAATATGAATTGGACAGTTAAGTGCGAGTGGTATATATGCATGTATGTATATTCAGCGCATACTGTGGCAGCTCTGCGCGTTGGAAGAGGAATTTCAGTTTTACAAAAGTAACATTCTTAAATTCATATTCCACATTTTTTCATTTCCTGTTTTCACCTAATTTTCTCGCACTTGACAAATGCTTTCTTTTTAACTGCCATTCCCGTGTCACTTATCATACCTTCCACCACACTCGCGCCAGCTCCTTTCGCATCACTTTGCTATTGGCCTGCCTAACAGCACTTAAACTTTTGCTCCGCTGCCAATCGTGTCGTGCCTTCGAATTTGCTACGTCAAGTCAAACTTTTAATTAACCGAATATCGATAAAAAGCGCGAACGTGACAATAGTGGCACTCAAAGTATTGGATTTTGCTAGCAGATCAGGTCAAAGGTGAAGGGTTGTAGGCAATTAGCTATCGAGTGCATAAGTTAGAGTATAGCTTTTCTCTATTGTTGTTGAAGTGAAATAAATTTTCGCTCGCTAATTTGTCAGCGGTAGTTTGTGTAGTAGTACGAGTGCAATGTAACGGTATTTATTATTGCGCTATGTGTAAAATCGCCACAGAGGCCAAGTGGTTTATTGTGACCTTACAATGGCTCTAAACAAGGAAGTTGAGTTTGTTTGACTCTGAATGAGGTTCGTTGGTGATTTATCGGTCAAATAAGGCATTCAAGTGAATGACATTGAAGAATCCAACTTTAAATAGATCTAAATTGGAAAAAATTTTGAGAATCATAGTTTGTAGTCAACCTTTCGAGTATGTAGTTGCAGTCGTGGGGCTATAATAAATTTTTACTCATACGTAAACGTCGCGCATTCTGGAAAAGTGAGTTACCCTTATGCAAAGATCAGTAACGAACCCGTGTGAGGCCTTGTCACGCCTAAAAGAAAGGAGGCTTCAGTGGTAACATTCCAATATATTCGGCTCACCTTATAAATGTGTGCGAAATTTAAAACTCCTCACCTAGTGAGCTTGTGCGCTGGATTTGGTATCCGTCACTTAGAGATCAACTACCCCCCCCATAACCAGCACTGGAAGCATGTTAGGGATCATACTTTAGCAACTAGAGTCAAGTCTGCCGCTGTCCACCCGGTTGTTGACCTCCTATGACTAAAGTCCAAGAAGTACGAAGTGCGGGAAGTGGATAGAATTGAGTTAGTCCTGGTAGTGGCAGGGATACTCCGTCGCCGAGTCCTGGTGTTCACTCGCCTCTCTTGGTACTCACTCGTCCCTCGCCACTTCGTCACAATCCGCATCCTAGCGAAATTCTTACACTGACTTATACCATCCGACGACGGTAGAAAAGGGCGATGTTACCAAGGATGCCTTTAATGAGCACTGCTCCGACACGATGTGGAAGTTGTGATTGACGTCCTCAACGCCAAGCTCGAAAATGAAGCACAAGTAGTCTTCATTACGAAATATCCCCAATGTGTTGAGGCCCGAATTATGGTTGTCCGTAGCGCTAGATTCTGTAACAAGAAAATTAAATAAGTTCCTGGCTGCCTTAAGATCGAAAAACTCACAACTACATAGATCGACGGAGTGCCTACACTCCTAAGACGCAACATTCGACTCGGAGCACTATCTCGTAGCAGGAAATAAATATATACATACACAGCACTTCAAAAAAGCAAAAGGAGGGTTTACGACAGACAGTTAAACAGTTTTCAACTCGACACCTGCTGTCTGCCAACATCTTGGTATAAGGTTAGTGTGAGATAGCATTTCAAGGTTCCTATGTACAGGTGCAAGCGAAACTAGTGGATTTCGGAAAGGATCTGTTCGGAAACCATGCCCAACTATTGTCACTTAATAATGTTCTGCTCAATTCTTAAAAAAGGAGAACCTCACTGCGCCAATTACCAGGGGATTTGCTGGTTAGGTCACGTCGTCCGAGTGTTGAAATCAGAGGAAGCGAAGGATCATGTGGAGAGTGACTTCGAGAGGCGTTTTGAGAAGCCAACTGAAAGTAAAACATTATTTTTAAAGCGTATACAGTATACTCATAAACCGATACTACAACTTCCTATAAAATTGTTTTCGCTCATAACCGTTATTTTTACCACTTTTTGTTATTGCTCAGTTTTATATTTCAGCTAAAACTTGTAACTCATATCTTATGTTAAGCTTGTGCAATTAAGCCGCAACTGAATTTCGGACAAACAAGATTAGAAATCTGTAAAATTAACTTTAATCGGAATTTCGGACAAACAAGATTAGAAATCTGTAAAATTAACTTTAATCCTTTGCGCGAAATAACAGTTGGGAGCACCACAAGCAGCCACTTTTTTTTGAGATGGCGATATAAACAGACTTACAAAGGAATATTTGCTTACATAACGCGCCTTCCTTCTATTTTCTCTCCCACTCTCTCTCTTCCTCTCTGTCTATCTTCCTTTCTGTCTCTCTTCCTCTCTGTCTGTCTCTCTCTCTCTTCTCGTGTTCTTCCAAATAAAAGGCGTACAAACAGCGATTCCCAGTATAGGCGATGATAATTGCCATGAAATTTTTATACAAAAAGTAGTTTAAAAGAAAATTTTGTATAAACAAAATTAAAAAAAAAACACAATAAAAATAAAAACAAAAACAAAAAGAAACACAATGCAAACAAAACACGCCCAACAAATGCCGGCATTAAGCTGGGGAGGACAATGAATGAATAAAACCAAGGCATAGTTACAGTTAGTTGCAGTCAGTTGCAGTGAAAATTGTTGTTGTTGTTGTTGTTAATAGCTAGAAAGCACACTCCGTTGCAGCTGAAACCTTAAGTGCGCGCAAAGCAATGCAATGACCAGCCGGAATGAGCTACGCTCTCGGCCATAAAAATGATTACGAGACGGCAAAATGAATGAAGAAGAAATGAAATTCACGAAGAACACGAAAAAACATAATAAAAACATAATAAAAATTATTGTTGTTACGGTAAGCACAAGTACAAGGAGAACAGTTATGGTTTGTAGCCCACAAAGGCGCAATACTATAATCACTAAAGCCAACATTATTTGTCCATTCAAAGCCACAAAAAAAGGTTAAGTCCTTCGTATACCAACAACATGCTTAGTCCACAGAGGGGCAGCTACTGCAGCTTGTTGGCATGCAACAACACTTGTAGTGTACCTGCCTTATAGAGAGGATATACATATGTCACGCAGGTAATGTTAACAGGTAACAGGTAGCTCAGAGGAAAGTTGTCCTGAGAAAGGAACTTTTTTGGTTTTCGTTACGGATCTGCAATCGGTATATAGAACGATAGAGTACGAGGAGTGTGTAAAAAACAAATGATATTAGCATTGAATAGTGGCTGTGTTAGTCGAACAAAAAATAAACTCATCGGATTTTCTAGTCGTGAACTGGTTGCCTCGTGAAATTTCTTGAAATGCAGAGTTCAAATTCTGCACACTCGGTTTCATTGAAATCTAGCTCATAGTGGCAGTTCCGGCCCGTTAACCGATATCCAAGACATGTACAGGTGAAATGCTGAGCGTAAACAGGAACCTTTACTTCCTTAGAACATAAGTAAGAATCGACTGCTCACAGCCAGTGAGTTCACAAGATGAACTTTTCCACCGACGGTTAGTCTTTTGTATAGCATAATCAGTAGAGACAACTAGCAGTGGGTTCACCCATTCTGACGGTCAGAATTCGAGTCCCACCTTCAAAATTTAATTCTCCATATTTGATTGATCCCTAGGGATCCCTGATTGACTATGGGAAACCTTTTCTACTCTCCCAGCTTACCCGTAATCGATATATATCTTACATGGGTAGAGATACTTTTCAATAGAGAGACCTATAGTCCTTCTAAAGTGCCACCATACGGCAGCATGGAATAAATTTTTCTAAAACTGAACTGAATGCATGTAGAAGCGAGGATTATAATTTGGTGGCTGATATCCAGTATGAAGGGAAAACTTCTTCAGCTTACTAAATTGCAGTGAAAGTGCATAACTCGAAGATAGTGAACCCGATACCACAATCGATGATGGAAAAAAAGTTCCATTCGCCGACTACAGCGAGACTCCAGTAGCGATTGCCCGTTTAAAGAATAACAAAAAAGTTGGATGTGATGACTATTTAATCATGGCGTCGACAAGATGCATACTTCAGCTTCCTTGCAAAATATGATCGGACGAAGGTAAGCCCCATTAATGGTGGTTAAGTGAACTCCTTGGATTTGGCATACTAAATATCGTATACAAGGTCCCACCGAGCATCAACAAACTACGGTAGTACAATAAGGAGCTACTCCTACGCCGCTCTCTATGATTTGGTGTTTCTGCGTAACTTAGACGGCGACTTAAACTGGACCTAGACAACACTAGAAACGCACTCAGAATTAAAAACGACCTAATCGAGCCGTTCGGTACTAGACTTAGTTACAGACAGAGTAACCCTTTCTTGTCTGATATCTTCAATTTGATGTTGGAGAAAGTAATAAGAGCTGCATAGGTTCGTAGTTCACAACGGCTGGCATATGCGGACGATTCTGTCATAATAAGCTTTGCAAATGCACCGTGACTTCTGCCTTTTCCAAGCTTCGAAAAAGAAGCGAAATGATTGGCTCTGTGTGTGAACGAGACAAGACGAAATATATATAGGGAAAAGTCTTGAGTAAGATTTATGGTCCTCTACGAGTCGAGGACGTCGAATACCACACGATGATACGATGAGCTGTATGAATTACATGATGACATTAATATAGTTCAGCGAATCAACAGACAGTGGCTACGGTGGCCGCGAGATCCGAGTGGTAAATATTGAATACTGATATTCGGAGGCCTCTAGTTCAAATCTCGGTGCGAGCAGCGTCCAAATGTTATAGAAAATTAATTTAAATAAAAAATTAAATAAAATTTTCTCATTGCCGTCGACCCTGGCGGGGAATGTCAACCCCTTCGAGTGTTCTTCTCACATGAAATACAGACTCCTCGACGTTCGACCTCAGACCTCAACGTTCGAAGGCGGCTTAGTATAAATTGTAGATCCAGCAAGAGAAAGTTGAATTCGACCCACCTTCTGCTACAAAAATACGATAAATCTTAATTTGGCTCACAAACAAGCAGCTTTCTGCCTATTCACCTGATTATCCGCTTTGTGGGACAAGAGCAATATTACCTATGCGTACGTGTGTTTATATATGTACTTGCATATGTACGCTGTTTTCGCTAAAAGCATGGATAAGTCGAAAGGGCAAAACTGCAAAAGACGTACGCTCGGACGAAGCAACGGACGGACGAATGGTCAGCGAAAAAAGAAATGTATAAAAGCATGCTGCAACGGGCATTAAAACCTCAAAAGACCACCGAAAACGTATTAAAAAATCAGAATTTCCACAAGAAAAATTGTTCAAAATACAGATATGCTTATATAAACGTAGATACATACATATACATAGATATGTGTGTACACCAAAAATACATTTGTATGTGGATGTGGCAAGCATTGTTGGTCTTTCTTTTGGTATAATGAACGAAGGCAGGGAATATGACATGGTCTGCTGGGCAGTTGTTTGGTCGGTCGGCCGGTCGGTCGGTCGTTTGGTGGCATAACCGCCAGGTGTGCAACTCAGTTGTGGAGCATAGGGTTTGCAGCGCTTTAAGCGGAAGTACCAGAGAATATTCAAAGAAAACGAATAACAGGAAGGAAGAGTAAAGTTTGTGCAGTTGCAAGTGTTCGTAAGCGCGCGCTCGTTGAGCTTATGTATATATATCTGGGTGTCTGTGTGTGTGTGAGTTTAAGAAAATATATTGCATTTTTGTGGCATACAAGGCAGCTGCTGTGCGCTGGTATGCCTGCAATTATGGCGAATATGTAAAATAAAGCTATGCAAATACGAATTTTAAATACAACAAGCGGTCATGCACACACACACACACACACACACACACACACACACACACACACACACACACGCACTAGGCATTAGCAGGTAAAATGAAGTTGAGTAAAAATATGCACAATTGGGGTAATGGAAAATAAGTATTATTTTCTCTGTAAAACGGAAATTCCCTCATTTGTACACATTTGTATATATATATTTATTCAGCCCTCCACTTTACTCGTTCGCCTTTGTTTGCTCTACTCTGACCCAACTGTATTGCAAGTCAAACTTTCCCACACACACATATATACATACAAGTGTGTAAAAATATTTTAATTGATTCTTGAACTATGGCTAGTTTTATTTGACCTTTTTGCCATGCAAAGTTTTTTCTTTGTTTACCGGAGGTCAGTGGATTTTTATGTAAAAAGATTATTGGTAAATCAAACCGGATTTGGCACTTGGATTTGTTGCTTTCACTTTGCTTGTAAATTTAAAATTTTTATTCAAAGGTTAAGATAACTAAAACTAAATAAGTTATTTCTAAAATATTAAATATTAATATTGAATTTTCTAAATATTTAAAATTTGCCTTTTGCATTATAGACGAACCTTTTTAGTGAATATTTATATTTCTGCAGGTGCAAGTTATTTTTTGATCATGTTTCGGCTGAATCGTCAAAATCTTACCTAAAAAGAGAAAAGTAAAAAAAAATATTCATTATATTTATTGACCAAATAATTTTGTTAAAATAAAAATTTCAGTCTAGTAAAAAGTAATCCATTATTTTTGCAATAGATGGCTTTAGTCGTGTGTATCTCGCTTTCTGTCGTTAGAAACATTATACGAGCGGTTGCTGATGAGTGCTGAATGACACAAGCGAAATTTTTTTTTTTTTTTTTTTCAATATAATCTCCCTCAAGTGAAGTACACTTTTCGCATCGTGCATACAACGTCTTTATCCCACTGAAAAAATATGCTTCAGATTTCTCTTCAAAATGGTTTTTTTATAGCCGCTTTCATCTCACTTTCGTCTGAAATTTGTCGTCCCCCTAACTCATTTTTTAAATTTGAAAATAAGGAAAAATTCACCGGGAGCCAGGTGCGGACTGTAGGGTGGATGGTCAATTGCTGTAGGCGTTAAGGCACCCCTCGCAACCCGAACAGTGTGAACGGGTGTATTGTCTTAAAGAAGCAACAACTTGCGACGTCTCTTCTGTACGACTGCCTTACGCGCTTGACTTACGCAGTTGCGTAATACTGACCTTTCAATTTAGTTCCCTTTGACAAGTAATTAATTTATGAAATTCCTTCGCTATACCAGAAAATGGTTGCCATTATCTTCTATATCGACGTTTTCACTTTTGAATTCTTTTTTGTTGCCTTTATCTTTTTTTTTTTTTGTTGACATAGTGTTGGTGATAAATAATGGAAATCGTCGAGTCTGATCATTATGTGAGCACTTTTTCCATTATTGTTATAAAGAGGCGGATGAATACCTTCACTTCAACAAGACGTTAGGACCAGGTAATGTTCGCATATTTATAACTCTGGATATATATCTTCCGTCAATCACAACATGACCGCCCTGGTTGCGTGATTTTTAAACTGGCCACAGTCAAGTAGTTTGATGAATTTTCTTTCACGAAAATTTCGTACCACGCTCAATCTTATTTTCGGCCCGGCGATAAGCTTCAGTTCTCTTAGGGATGTTTCTTCGAGAAGGATGTATTTACCGAAAGTTGTGCTGAAGATACCTTCTTTGTCCACCCTCAGCGTGACAAGAGCAGTGCTCATAAGTATGCTTGAGGCGCCATAAAAGGCATCCTTGGTCGCATCATCCTTTAATTCTGTCAGGGCATGGTCGCAAATGTTAAAAAATTTCATATTGGTGCGGATTTTGGTGAAACGTTGATCCACACGAATGAATGCCAGTACTCGACAACGAAAACTCTGTCCCACTACAAATCCGAAACCAAATTTTTTTTCCTTTATATGGTCGCTGTGGTATATTTCACAAGGGCCCACCACATTCCGTCCTCGTCCCGTCCATTGCACTTTTTGGACGGCGGTGGTGTAAACTTTAATTTAGCAAGGACACCCACAAGCTGGAAAGCGGTACCATCGAAATTAAGGGGCCGAACATTCCAGGTGCCTAGCCTCAAATCGAGATTCTTAAACGTTTTCGAGGGTATCTAAACCAAGGCTTATTGTAGTATTTTTTCATTGAAATATATATTATAGGTAGTGGGTCTTAATATTTACTAAAAATCGCATAAAAACCCAGAAGATACTTGACCTAGGACCGGAAGTCATGGGCTGCTTGTACCTTTCGTAAAAGAATCGTTTCTATTTACTGCCAAGAAAGTGACAATCAAAAACTCTCCTCCCTTATGGTTTTCTTGAAATTCGGTACACACCTGAAGGTGGCTCTTGATTTAGATTAGAAGAAAGACTACTCTCATCGGAAAATAGCTCAGGTTTTGACATCGGAAAAATCGTATTAATGGTTTGAATTAATTGAAACTCTTTGCCTAATTTAACAAGAAACCTATTCTTCTTTACAGGATTTGGACCAGAGACTGACAAAATCGAAAAATAAAATTAAAAGAACCTTTGCCGTGTGAATGAAATTTTCCAATAATAAAAAGGGTGTTGCCTTCAAATATTTGTTGGCAAATTCTTCGCAAAAACAACTAAATCGCGCCAACTTTACAGCTACAGAATATCTGAGCGCTTGATCGTGGATATGTAGGTAAAAGGAAAAGAGAAAAAACAAGAATAAGTAAAAGCGGCGCACATGTAACTTAATAGGATAACCATTGACTCGTGCTGTGGGCATCCCAAGTTCGAATCCTGTTCGAACAAAGGTGTCTGGAAAAAGATGTCTGAGGAGGAAACGTGGTGTTTTCAGCTACAACTTAAAACTTAACTTTTTTTAAATTTTTCCAAAAAATATAGATGGTCTGAAAAAGTTCCATAAAAAAAATTAAATAAATGCTTCGATTTACTCGATATTCGGTACTTAGGATGCTTTTTGCTTAGGTTAAAGGGAATATTACTCTTAACTCCGGTAGGCTAGGGACAGAACTATTCGAAGAATTTGTATTTATGTTTCGAATTACTTAAAATACAGCATTTTTTACCGGAAGTGGATCAAACAATTTGAAAAGGCAATTGCATATTCATGATTCGCTGGAGTAAATTTTTGGATGACTTGCCTAAATGCATTTTGTTTCCTAGAAATGGAGCAAAGACTTTGACGCTTCGCTCGAAATACAAATAATACTTTCATTCATTTCACATTCGATCGATCGTTTGAGAAGGTGAAGGCAGGGGCCTTAGCGGTATCACAATGGGCCTATTGTCCTAAGTGTGCTATGGTTTGACCAGCATCCGCATCAACTCCACTCTCAACTCAAAGATTATCGAAAGATGGACAGAAATTATTTGTATGATTTGGATGTAAATATAGATCGTGCATAGGTATGTTCGCATTACAAGCAATTCAAATATACAACTTGAGTGTGAATAAACCTAGATACCGACGGTGCGTTTGGCTCACTTTGAGGCGTTCAGATTGACGTTTTTGTGAAAGACTTCGAGCAGCGAAAAAGTCAGTCACACAAACCAATAAGTTGTCAGATAAATAATATAATAAAAAAATAAAAATGTTATGAATTAAAAATTGTTTAATTATGGTTTTTATCTTATCCTTTGGTGTACAAATTGGAACAAATTTATTGATGAAAATTTTTTTTTTACTTCAATGTTTTTTTTTTTACAGCCATTAGAATGCACATAAAAAAATTTATTACTGAAAAATTTTGTTTTATATTTTCATGTATTTTTTGTATAGAAATTATTACTAATTTTCGAACGCTTTTTGACAAAAAAAATTGCAAATTTGCACTGATTTATGCACAAATTCACCATACATATTTTTCACACTTGACTTATTTGGCAGAGGAAAAGGTTATCGAATCAATGAAATAAGCAATTTTTAGTGAAGAATATTTAATTAAAATTGCAACACATTAAAATGTAATGAAACATTCCTGTACCAGAAAAATGTATGTCAAATGAAGCAATTAATTTTTAGGCTAATGCGATTTTGCATTTGAAATCAAACAAACAAATCAGTCATATACATACATACTCACATATCTACATACACGAATTAAATTCAAAAATTAAACATAAACAAAACTATATTTGCTGTTTGTGCGCATGTGTGACACGCAACGCCAACAAACAGCACCAATAAAAGCAACAATAACACCAACTTGCTCGTGGACAATTTATTGGCTTGGGAATGTTAGTAAATTGTTGGTGGCCCTGTTTGTCTCTGTCTGTGTATTTGTGTCTGCGTGTGTGTGTGTGTGTGTATGTGTGTGTATGGGTGTAAGCATGTGTGCCAATTTAAAATGTGCAACGCAAAAATAAATTGAACTTTGTCTGTATGTTTGTATTTGTATTTACATTTACTTGTTTGCCCGTTTGTTTGCAGTTGCGATAGTTGCGTAATAAATGAATGCCACTGCTGCTGCTGCTGTTGCTGCTGCCGGGATTTATTTGAATAATGACCCGATTGTGGCGCCTCGAATGACTGTCACACCAGCGATGCGGTCAAGTGCAAGCACAACATTGGCATACCACATATGGGGCAGTGTGAAATATTCAGGGGTTCATCCTTGAGTGTGCACTGCTTTATCATGCCCCTTAACGCCGATTACACAATGTTGTTGACGTGTGTGTGTAAATAGCAGAAGTGCAACTAATAAACTGTGGCCGTTAGTGGAAAAGAGAGTGGAGCCAAATGGTGAGGAAGTGTTTCGACTGATTTTTGAGGGGGAAAAACGGCATGTGTCAGGTCAGGAGAGGTCCTCATGGTCTAAACATATTAAAGCTGAGTTCCCTGTATTAGACTAATGTCGGTTGTGAGATTTGCTGTAGCGCATTTCTTTTTATTTGGTCACTGCTGTCTTTGAGTGCCACATTCCTTTACAACTGGCTAGCGTCGTCGACCAATCACGTGCCGCTGTGCCGCCTTGGCATATCTTCATTCTGACCTTGCGGACGCCAGCAGCTGATTTTTTAACGGCTTTCGTTAGAACCTCTATGTGCACCCCACAAATAGCCACTACTGTCGGCCTACTTGCTCTGTTAGGCTTCGCCCCCTTTGTCAGCGTCCAGTCATTTATGCCAGGCACAGATTTATTTCGACAGTCTCCTCTAGAGGAAGTAACCCATACACACAAGAGGCTTCCAGGGGATCATGCCGACGTCAAATAAATTTCAGTTTCGCAAACTTAAGGTGGAGACCCGCCGAATTATTCAGTATGTCGCTTGACACTAGACTCGACACTCTAAGCTCAATCCCCATCCGTCTCCGCTGTATAGTGGTAGGAAGTCTGCCTGGTTAGGCAGATTGCTTCTTTTTCAAGTAGCTTTCGTACTCCATCTCCCTGTGTTTTCAGATGCTGGCAGCGTAATACTTTGGCAATTTTCCCTTGTACAAAGACTAGTGTCTGGCTCCGGCTTTTCATCGATTGATTTAAGTATTTCTTCTTTTTCCTCGCTGATTGCCTCCTTTAGCTACTAGTGTACCGCAGTATTTGCTGTTTAATCTGCTTGCACTCTATGGCCGTTAGCACTCTTTAATGCCTTCTGACGGTAGCCGAGCGGG